AAAGGCTGAGAGCCTGGCTGGGCATCCAAGGAGAGCCTCAGCCAGCAGCCATGGGACCCCATCCACCTCACTAACCATCAGTGCATTTCCTCCTCAGGAGTTTTGCCACCAGTTCATTGCCCAGTGGAAGAAGCTGAATCTGGACGTCATGCTGTGTCCCATGCTGGGCCCTGCCCTTCGCATTGGCTACCCTCAGAAGCTCACAGGTAAGACTGCTGACGGGAACCTTTGCATCCAGTGTGCTCCTGCTGCAGCACTCCACCACAGAATTATAGAATCACTTTGGTTGGAAAAGACTTGTAAGATTATCAAGCCCAACCATTAACCTAACTCTACCAAATCCACCTCTGAGCCATATGCCCAGGCACCACATATACCTGGCTTTTAAAGACCTCCAGGGATGGTGACTCAACCACCTCCCTGGGTAGCATGTTCCAATGCCTGACAACCCTTTCAGTGAAAAAGTTCTTCTTCATGTCCTGCCATTAGGTGCCCTAATGTCACCAGTATCAGTGAGAAGCGTTCCTTCTCCTCCCCTCATACTGGCCATTGCTGGGAAGATCTCGACTCTTGGGGTAGCTGCAGCCCAAGCCAGTGGGGTACACCCCAGATAATCCCCCCTGGTGGATATGGGGGCCAAGGGGCAGGTTTCCATTTTCAGCTCAGGGGTTCCTAGTGCAAGCTCCCCGTTAGCTGGAAGCTGGGGTGGGGGTGGGGGTGAAGGCTTTCTCTGTGTTGGGCTGGCACTGTGAGTTCCCTCATTCCCCAGTGGCAGTCAGCTACACCATGCTCTACAACACCTTGGACTTCCCCGCTGGCGTGGTCCCTGTCACGATCGTGACGGACGAAGACGAGGAGGAACTGAAGGGCTACCAGGGGTACTTTCGGGACTGGTGGGACCGAACCCTGGCAAAGGTGAGTGGCACCAGGTTTCCCCGGGACACGATATTCCCCATCCCTTCCCCTGGACTCGCCCCTGCCCTCTCCCCCTCTGTTTGTGCCACAGGCTTTGCGCGGCAGCGTGGGGCTGCCCGTGGCCGTGCAGTGTGTGGCCTTGCCATGGCAGGAGGAGCTGTGCCTCCGGTTCATGAAGGAAGTGGAGACCCTCGTCACCAAGAAGAACATGTTCATCTGAGTCTGGCACGCTGGCCCAGAGCAGGACCCCAGCTAACGTCAGCACAGGCCATCCTTTGGTCTGAGTCGTCTGCTGGCCGCGTGCTCCTCTCCACAGGGCGCAGCAGTGGCTGGGCTGGCTGCCGGGCCTGTGAGGGGGAGGCGAGGCAAGCCCCGCGGAGGTGAAGCAGCACCAGTCCTTGTCCTAATACAGTACTTCTTGTTGTCAGAAAGTCTGCGTTTGTCTGTGAGGATGGGGTGGATTTTAATAAACCCTTTCAACATGTCCCAGGGAAGGTCAAGAACAGAACGTGGTCTTTCTCTTACAACTGGGAAAGCTGAGGTGTAGGGACTGGTTTTGTCCAAGATGTTCAGACTCCTACTTGGACTGCTGTAGGAAAAAGGATTTCCCCTCAGTTCCCTGAGGACGAAACCTGGTGGTTTCCCTGCCGCAGACCAGCCATCCGAGGTCAAAGCTGAGCCTGCCTGCGGGCTCTGGCAAGCAGGGAGGGAGGTGGCCCGCTTCCTGCAGTACAGAGCTGCTGGCACCCAGCACACCATGGAGGGGACAGCTGGAGTGATCACTAACCCATCTCCTCCAGCCACCTGCTCCCGCTTTCCCCAGCGCAGAGGTGCAAAGTGCTTCAGCTCACAGTGCTGCCCGTATGAAGCGGTGTGCCAGAGCTGGAGGGCCAGCTGGCCAGCCTGCCCTGCACACCCTCTCCTCCCCTTTGGTGGAGGGGCCCGTGTCAGGTTTTCCAGTGGAGTCTCCCAGCTGCTGGCAACTGCTGACACAGGGATTGGCCACACCGGCTGCTCCTGGCAGGTTGCCAAGGGTGACCCAAAAATGGATATTGCAATGCAGAAGCATTTTCCCAATGCAGCAATATCACAAGTGGTTTGGAACAATGCTCTGGCAGGATCTATGGTTGGTAGCATTAATGTATTGTCGTTTCAACCAGAGCCATACAAAACCATGGGGTGTTTTCAAGGCAAGGGATTGGCCACACCGGCTGCTCCTGGCAGGTTGCCAAGGGTGACCCAAAAATGGATATTGCAATGCAGAAGCATTTTCCCAATGCAGCAATATCACAAGTGGTTTGGAACAATGCTCTGGCAGGATCTATGGTTGGTAGCATTAATGTATTGTCGTTTCAACCAGAGCCATACAAAACCATGGGGTGTTTTCAAGGCATGGGCAGAGAAATTTATCCCAGCCTAGAAGAAGGCAGATCCCAGGACCTTAATTCTTTGTCAGCAGACTTTGAAAAAAGTGAGGAAGGAGCTCCAGACATCCTAGGACTGAATGCTATGTAACACCAAGCCACAGAAAAGTGTGGGTGGGGTTTTTCACCAGTTGCAGTTGCTCCATGCTCACACAGAAAATGCTGTCTGGGGTCTAACTGTTTACATTTTAAAATTCAAGCCTGGAGGAGCTTATCCCAGGAGAGGCATCTGGACAAGTGCTCCCTGAGAGCCAAGCACTGCATCATGTTGTTACTCTAACCGCTCTCTCCCTAGCATGGAGGAGGGCAGGGTGCAGGAGTCCAAACAACCAAGACACCAGTGGACCTGAACGAGCAAATGATCCTTGATGGAGGCCCTGAGCAAAGACCTCCAGTGAGCCATGCCCACTGCCACGGGACAGTGCACTGGGCAGTGGCAAAGTTATGGCTTTGGTAACTTGAGGTTGCCAAAAAGGGCCAGCTGCAGGTTGCTCCCAGCCCAACCTGGGCAGAGGCAGGTAGATTTGAATGGAAGCACTGAAGCTTACGGCTGGGACAGGGCAATGGAGATCACATCCCCACAGTCGGTGGGGAAAGGTGGGTGACATGCACATTGAGTGGTTTGGATGGTTTTGCTCTCCATCCTGTCCAAACAGGGAGGATCCTTCTTACCTTTCCAGTCAGCAACCAGTTTCTCTGAGGTCTTGCTGCTTCCACAGGCTCTCTTCGTGCTGCCACAGGAGTAATCCCACAGGACATGTCTGTAACAGGCAAGGTAACAGTAGCAGCATAATCATTGGCTTTTGGTCCCCAGATGAGATCTCACCACCAGATGGTTACCCTGACTGCAGCCTCTTTTACAAGCTCTGCTATGCTCCCTCAGAGCAGAGCCAGCATCTTGCCAGATGTGGCAATGCTGCCTTGCATCTTGGTAATGAATTTGCAGAGATACCTCCTGTTCTTTCCCTGTAGGCTTACAGATCCTTGAGGTCTGAGAGAAGTTTGAGTTTGTTTTTTTTAAGTCACTCTTCCTGTACTCTTGGGGACAGCCCATGGTGCAGGGAGCACTCATGGCAAAGGCTAGCTTCTGGAGCTGGCAAGACTTCAGAGTCCAGCTCATTTGCCTTGTGCTGGCTGGAAGATGGCTTAGAAACTGGAGAGTAGATAGGATAGTGGATCTGTCAGAGAGGAATTCCCAGAAGTGCTCACCTCCTCATCTGGGTTGCCAAAATGCTTTTCAAAGGGGCTTGCCTTGAAAATGCTGCAGAGTAGTCATACCCCTTGAAGGCATCTCCAGATAGCTCCTTCTACACTGTCTTTCCGGAGTCATTCTGTCCTGTGTGCACATTCATTCTCTTGGTTCTCTTGAGCTCCCACCTCTCCAATAGGTGGAAATTCAGGCTCTGCACCAGGTTCTCCAGGACAAGGAGAGCTCTGTTGTCCCAGGCTCAAAGGGCTGCACATGCTGCTGCCTGAGCCACAGAGCTGATGGCTGAGCACCTGTAGGTAACAGGGTTAAGTGCTAATTAATCATTAGACCTGGGGATAGTAGGGATAGCCCAGATGTGGATTTTGCAGACATTCAGTTTTGTTTATCAGCTCTGTCCCCTGTGTGTAGCCAGGTACAGCAGCAGCCAGTGGCGTGGGGAGACACAGCCTTTGTGGGACAAACCCCCCAAACCCAGTGTGAGCTGAGCATGCTGCTTTGCATCCCAGCCCATAATGCTTCTCCAGGAGGCAGATCCTTTCAAAGTCCATGGTCTAAAAAGTCCACTCCTGGACTTTGTTAATGCAACACTCCTTCAAATCTGCTCTTGGGTCACATAGTCTGCATTCATCAGCCCTCCTGAGGAGAAGGTGGGAGACCCAGGTGGCTATAGCTGGACCAAAACGGGAAGGACTGGGAGAGAAATCATGACTCAAGAACGACTGTGGGAGGTCCTAGACCCATCGTGGGGAGACCCGCGCAGCCTCTTGGCTCTGCTCTGCAGTTCAGCCACAGCTGTTGTGCTGCTGAAGTGGCTGGGACATAGGCGAGTCCAGCAGAAGATGGAGGAGGCGAGGAGGACACGGGATCTGGCCCTTGAGCGAATGGAGAAGACAGCTCACAAGTTTAAGCAAGAGGTAATTTGGAGGAAAGTGCATGTAGGAGGAAGGGATTGTATTTTGGGTAACCAAAGAAAAGGGAGAGTGCTGATTAATTCCCCTTTGAATGGTGGTTAGGGCATGTGCATTGTTTGGATCATCACAAATGTTTTTGGAGGGTCTCCACACTGTTGTCACAAAAGAACTCCCATAAAGGCTGTGCAAAGGAAGTATTTCCTAATACAGACCTGTTGAGTGAATTCTGATCCACCCGTGAAAGAGGGAACAGAGTTTTTTTTAGTACCCTCTGAATCAGATCACCACCCCAGAACTCCCTATGCCCTTTTCTCCTCATCCATTCCTACTGCCAAGCCTTTCCTCTGCCACCCTCCTCACCTCTGTCCCTCCACGGGGACCTGTCTGCCCCATCATCTTCAAAGTACAGGGGGGGCTTCACATTCCTCCAATATTGGTGCACCTGGGACCAAAAGCTATTTTCTCCTGCCCGTGCCCAGGTAAAGAAGCCCCTGATTTTAGGAGGCCAGGTCCTTGGATTCGGGATTTGTCTTAAACCTGTAATAAATACCTGCTGCTGTTCTCTTCTCGGCAAGGAAGCTGCAAACAACCCCCCCACTTTTTTTTTTTTTTTTTTTTCTTCCTCCCATGTTAATGATAAATTTTGTAAAACTTTAGCTGGTTGAATTGCTACTCGACACACTGTCCATGAGTTAGAAGGGAGGTGAAGGACTGCGGGAGTAAACAGAGACAGCTCAAACCTCTCTTACAGGTTCATGCAAGTCTCCAGTCAACAGGCACTTCTCTGCTTGTTTTGGTTCTGTTTTTATGAACTGAGGCTCAGCAAATTCCCTGTCAGCAAATTCCCTGCTCCAGCACACGTAGTGCTATGTGGGAGGCCTCCATTTCTACAGGGAATGTCTCCTAAAATTCTCCGTTCAAGATGATTGCTGGGCAGATATTAGAAGTGGATATCTGCAGCCTCAAAACCAGCCTTTTCTGCCATTTTCTTCCCTCCGCACCCGATTTCCTACCCTTTGCAGAACCCAGGCACCCAGACTGCACATATCCTCTCACTGACAATGGTGGAGCTGGCGGAGAAGCTGAAGGAGGGGTCCCTGTCACCAGAAAGTGTCCTCTACTCCTACGTGGGGAAAGTGAGTGATACTTCCAGCATGGGGGAGATGCTCTGGGGCTCTTGTGCAGGGGAGGGTTTCAAATTAAAAACTAGCTCATTTGCTCAGAGAACTGGCAATGCTGGGTGTTACAATTGATCATTACTGTGATGTCTGAAGGGTGGCTTATGGGCAAATAAGTAGGACTTAGATCCAGGGAAGAAAAGTAGCCCAGCAAGAAACACCTAAAATTTACAGGTAAGGTCTGAATAATGAATGCTGGGCATTTGAGGAGACTGAATTTTCAGCTTGAGAACTCAATGTAGATACTGTTTCCTTACTTCTGTCCATCCATATGTCTTGCTGCTCTTCTCTCTTGTGGAGAGGCTTTGGAGGTGACTCGGGAGGTGAACTGTGTGACAGATTTCATTCATGGCTGTGAGGATCAGCTACAGAAGCTGAAGAAGCAGAAAGAGAAGGGGCTGCTTTATGGCATTCCTGTCAGCCTCCAGGACCACC